TGCCGGACCATCCTCCACCTCCACCTCCACCACCGTCACCGCCGCCGCCGTCGCCACCGCCACCACCATCGCCGCCACCACCATCACTACTATCAGCGGCAAGAGCAGCAGGCACCAGCACCGCCACCTCCGCGGAGGTCGCACGGCTGCTAGCCCTCAACGCGTTAGTAGTGCCCGGGATACAGTCGATCGCGCACACGAAGGGTGCGGGTCGTCCTGGGGGTTGATTGTTGGTACAGAATTGGTTGGTTGGCTGGTTTCGGCAGTCCGTCTCGCGACGGATCGTCGTCGCGTCGCGATTCAACAGCTGGCGAGAAAGTGCTTAAACGGAGAGTATGTGAATGTCGGCAAATATCTCGTGTCCGCTTCAATCGCGGCTTGACGACGCTTCGAGCGATTTGGACTGCGCTCGAATGCGTAATCGGCATTGTTCTCAAGAGCGTAACGTCAACTCCGGACTCTTAACGTGATGCGAGCCACGTCGAATGGATCGAAGCGCTGCGTGTTGGTGCGTGTGGTGCCGGAGCGATAGAATTGAAATTATCTGGACCAATACGGAAGTTATCTGACCGAGAATATCTGAGTGAATATCATTATGCACTATGTGATACGAGGAGGCAACACTAGATAAGGAGTTGGATGTTTTTCGGTGCGTTCCTCACATTTTTTGGGATTATCCTGTAAATAATGCAATGTTTCTGTTCAATAATTCATAAGTTAAACGAATGACATTATCTCACGCAAAGATAAAAACACGTATTCAGTGTAAATAATTGTATTTAGTTGCTTTTGTAAACTTTGTTTTTCTAGTTGTTCAACGAATCTGAAACATATGGCTTCGAAACATTGTCGATGATAACTCCGCGGATTTGAAGAAATCCGCGCATCGTTTTCGATCAATATTAGTTTGTCGCGTACACATATATTGCAGGAAAGAGTAAAATTATACCAACAATGGCAACTACATCATAGACTTCCGTCAATTATTATTGCGAAAAAAATACATCGTAAGTCTTAGTCTTTTCAGATTTTGTAGACTACTTTTTTGAAGATTCAATATTCAGGATTATATTAACTATACGTATATTAATTGAGTGTCATTAAATATTATTTACAGAAAATAATAAATAATTATTAGGTGTTGGAATTAATTCGTAGCGTTTTACAAGTGATGGGAAGTACTTTCATTAATGTATTTTTTAATGCTCATGTGAAATAAATAACATTCTTTCATTAAAAAACGCTACGAATTAATTCCAACACCTAATAATATTTTAAAAAATTTGCATCTACTATAACATACATTTATTCTATGCGATTCTTAATACATTCTTATTATTTTAATTTCTCATTTCTCATTAATTTCACTCAATTTTTTACAGATACTGATTACAGCTTTTGAATTTAAGCATATAATTTTATTATAGACTGCGAATAAACATATCAATTATAATTAAGATAGAGTTGAAATATAAATGTATTCACCCATTCAAAAAAACCGAGGCACTAAAATGTTACAATAGCGCGTTTTTTTAGCAGCTAATTATAAATACTGAACAGGATTTTTTTATCACGCGTAATAATTAATATATAAAATAATATTTGATTATTTTAATCATTTCTAGTTTAGTTATTGGATAGAATATTTTATTATATGTAAAAACTTTGAAATAATTTGATGATAAATCTAACAACAAAATATTGCATTTTACAGTAATGCATCTTTTAAATACATCTTCGTTTTTAGAAATCAGTTTTGTCATTGAAGTATTTGAATTCTCTTATTTCTTTCTCTTTGTATTTTCATAATATATATTTAAATTCCGGCCACGTTTCCGCACGTCAGTTAAAATTAATATGTTATAAAGATAGAGTACGGTAGAAATGAATTGAGAAAGAGAATGATTATGAAGCTAAGCCTCAATTTCGAAGATTGGGGGTTCGTAATGTTGTAAAATGGATCACCATCAATTCTCTTTGACTCATCCATTTCTTGCAGGATGCGCTCTCGTTGATCCGTGCAAAAATGTCACGCCGGCACTCGCGCAATTTCCGCGATAATATATCGGCGTTTTTCGCTAAGGATCCGTTCTTCCTTTCACGTTATCGTTGCTGCCTCAATAATTTCTCAGTAGATTCTTCTCATGGATCTGGAAACTTCGAACTTATCTTCCCCGTCGGTGAATTATTAATCGTCCGGTCATCCCCTCCCTTCTTCCTGCTGCAATTAGCGCGAGCTCCGGAATTTAATTTCGCTCGCCAGACCAGATTGTCGCGCTTATATGATTCAGCATTGGCATCTCGTTTTTGCTTGTTCGCTTGAATGGCGCGAAATCGAAGCGTAATCCAATGATAGTTTGCACCTCTTTTTGAACTTGCGAGGTTGCGTCGGCATCGCGCTGTTCTGTCGAAAGACCCTCGGGGAATCCGATCTGCAAAGTACTTAGGAGACAAGTCGGACTAACTTGAGAATCGGGAATACTTGCTTCAAACTATAGCCGGTACGTTTCCATCGAAAGGAGGGCAAGAAAAAAATTCGTATTTGCTGTAAATATAAACGTGTGAGTTATCACGTTAAGAGAACATTAAATTAATCAAATTTTGTACAAACATTCAAATTGTGGATATAATATTGTGTATATAATTAGCATTTGAACTTTTACATAAATAGGTATTTATGTGATGCGCCATTTATATTTCAGCGAGCTTTGCTTTCATAATTCTAAAGTTTCTTTTACAGATAGATATACGAATAACGCTAATAAATGACATGGAAAATATTATGGCAGTTACGATTTATTTGATGGACGGATTTCTGTATTTCTTGAAATATTTCTTTAAATGAATGAAAAATTAAATGGATAAAAAATACTAAAGATAAAGAAGATTCTTAATTATAATTTTTGGTACGCATTTACGTCCCCTTTTGTATTTCGTAAGTATAATAACACTTATTTGTCATTGTCACAAGAAAGTGGATGGTATACTTTTTTACTTCGGCACGTTTATCAGAAGTTTGAGAAAGTAAAAGTAGCAAGAAAAGTCTGCGTTTATATGGCTTGTCTTAACAATTGTACGCTCGACGAGGTACGAAAACTATTACGTCGTTTTCGCCACATAGGTGGACCTTCGCAGCTCGTTATTTCACTTGGCGTTTGGAAAAAGACAATGGCAGGCGTAACTGAACCTTCGTGATAATTTAAACGCAGGCTCCTTCCTTTCTCCGAACAAGGGAAGGAGGAGTTGAAACGTTTCTAAAGCTGTAGTACCAAATATACCAAGGGCCAGGGATAGAGTATATAGTTTATCCCAAGTTGGAAATTGGAAATTCTCGCATAGCCACAGTTGAATGCTATCGGATTTCGCGTTATACGAGCAGTTTGAGCAACTCATTCGAATCAAACTACATCGTCATTGCAATTAATTAGATTTTGTCGAGCGACTGGCCGTGCGATTCGATTTTTCACTACTGGGTTCCGGCGTAATGTATATTAATTACTGATTTAACGAACGTAAATTTCAAGTCCAGCGTCGCTGAATTCCCGAAAATTCGATCCAAAGGGTCGATGCATACATTTGCATATTAATACTCAATCGGAACGGTCAAATTTGCGCTATTACCACAATGGGGTCAGTTTTCACCGCAATAATATATGGAAATATATATTATCCTAGATTGGAGAGCAAAATATCTACTTCATTTCTCGTTATTTTATAATAAACAGAAAAAACAGAAAAAAAACAGAACAGCTTTTGAAATTATGTAGCGTTACTAGCAAAAATCAATAAACTACAATTCGAATATTTCATTTATTTAGATGCGGATTTGTTTAATGGAGAATACACACGTCCAAAACAAGTATATTTTTAGAATAATCGATAAAATAAAGAATAAATGATTATAGAAAATGTAGAGAGTAAAGAATGTTCGAAATTTGTTGAACTGATGGAGGATTAGGACAGGGGTGCGAAAAGGATGTCGTTGGCGATATACATGCTTCACGCACGATCGTCCCCTCGAGTATATCGAGTATATCGAGCATACATTTTTCCAGTTCACTGGGTAGACGGTAGCAATTTACGCGCCATTTCTTGGGTACGAAGAACAGCTGTCTGTTTTCGTAAAATTTTAAATTATACATACGACGGAGATCTGTCCAAAGTTTACATATTTATATACTTGTGCGACTGTCGTCGAGTTAATTGAATCTGACGTGAAATTAATTTTCAGAGAAACCACAAACTTAACGAACCGTCCTTTACATGTTGCAGCGTGTTGAGGGCGCGAGGTGAAAGCAGGTGGTTTTTTTGCAAGAGCAAGAAATAGAAACTTGAGGATCGAAGAATCATCGTCGAATGATTCTCCTTTCCCGAGACGATTCGTAACATATGCGACGAGGACGTTGAGGATTCCGCGCGAGTCGGCGACTCCGAGGGCGGTGCCATCGTACCCTGGGCGCCGATGATTCCATCAGGATCATTCAGTGCCGACGATTCGAGCTCGTCGATCGTCACCGAAGAGTCGTGTATACGAGCGTGTTGCGCGATAAGGACGATCAGTCGCCAAACG